AGGTCTAGAAAATTATTACCCCTGGTAGGCTCTGTTACGCTCTGCTTCAGAAAACAGTCCTGAACTGTTTCCATAAAATCACTGGACTCTAGATTACCTGTCAAAGAATTCCAGTCAATTTGGCTAAAGTTAAAGTCCCCTACTATGACTACGTTACTGTGTCCAGAAGCCCTAACAATTTCGTCCCAAAGAAGTCTCCCTCTATCGTGATCCAAGCCTGGAGGTCGGTATATTACACCTAGAATTAGTTTTTCTTGACCCTCCACGAACTCTACCCAAACAGACTCTGTTACTGCTCCATCTATTTTTATACCTTTTTTTATGCAACAATTAATATTTTCTCGAACATACAATGCAACTCCTCCCCCCTTCCCATTACATCTATCCACATTGAATAACTTAAATCCCTGAATATTACACTCAGCAGTCATATCCGACTCTTTAAATCATACCACGTTTCAGTTAATGCAATGATATCAAAGTTCCCAGCACATGCTACCAAACGTAGTTCATTAATTTTATTTCTTGCACTTCGACTGTTAGCATAAAATACCATCATATGTTTTTTCTTCTGCACATTTTTCCTATTCATCTTTGTTTTTACACAATTTCTGAAATTATCATTACCCAGAGTTACTCCATGACAGTTACTATTAAGATTCTTAATATCAGAGCATAAGTCAACATATCCATACTCATTATTTATCATTTCAAAACCCATAGCTCTAACTAATCCTAGTTTAAAGTCCTAACAACCCACTCAACTGAGTTAGCAAGAAAACCCACACCTGCCCTGGATAAGTGAACCCCATCCCTGGCATACATGTCATTTCGGCCATAGAAGTTGCCCCAGTTGTCAATGAATGGTACTGCATTATCCTTACAGTGTTTATCCAGCCAACAATTAATACCAATTGCTCTGGACAACCATTCATTACCAACACTTCTTGGCAAAATGCCACATATAACAGGGCGCCCCCCCCCCTTCTTCCTAATTATGTCTATAGCTGTCCTGAACTTTCTAACTAAATCCTCACTTCTACGCTTGCCTACATCATTGCCTCCAGCACTGAGGCAAATAATAGGATTGATCCCATTACCGTTCATGATGTTGTCAAGCCGGCTAACAATGTCCTCCATCCCAGCCCCAGGAAAGCAAACCCTTTGTCTCCTACTCCTGTCCTTCAAGCAGAATGCCCTACCCATGTATCTAACCTGGCTATCCCCAACAACAACAATAGTCTTACCTTCCTTGTTGTCGTTCGTCGTGACGATCCCAGTAGTCGACTCACATTCTTCGGGTAGCACCGAGAATGCATTGGAGGTTCCCACAAGAGTTTCCACAGCAGTATCTTTCTTCTTCATCGTTTCTGGCTTTCCATTCGTCTTCTTGATCGTCAACTTCGTCCCCTGCTGTCCAGCCACTGACCACGATCCCTTTTTGACCTGAGGACTCGAAACAGGAGGACTACTACGAATCCTCTTGTTTTCCTCAGTCAATCGCCGTATCTCCATCTTCGCTACCCTCAATTCTTCCTTAAGCTGCTGGTAAAGTTTCTCGATGGAGGGCATCTTGGTTCAGTCCACGGGGAGCACACAAGACACTTCTTCACAGAGTTAAGTACAGGTCACCACTGAGTTAAGTACAGGTCACCACTGAGTTAAGTACAGGTCACCACTGAGTTAAGTACAGGTCACCACTGGTTAAGTACAGGTCACCACTGAGTTAAGTACAGGTCACCACTGAGTTAAGTACAGGTCACCACTGTGACCCCAAGTGACGCTCCAGACACACAGGAACAGATACGATCTTTCTCTGTATATGCCTCCGCTCGTTATAAAATCGCTCGTGTGGTCAAAACATACAAGAGAAGAACGAAATAGTTGAAATCATGCTTGAGGTCCACTGGTGTGCCCGGGAGGGGGGGTTATTGCCCCAACACAGCTGAAACAAGAAGAAGAATAACCAGCTAAGATCCACGACTCACACAATAAGAAGCAATTTGATTAAATAGTTTAGAAAGCCAACAAGTTGATAAATAAGACACCTGTCCAATGATAATGAGTTTGAGGTGATCATTCCCTCAGCCTGGAGTCGACGTGTTCGGTACATGAGTCGTGATCGCACAAGTGTCTCATGTATCACTGAGAGACAAACACACCCCTTCCCCCAGGGCCACCAGTGTCACTATCAATATTTATAATGATTTCCCCTTCAGTCGACCATAAATTCTACAACAATCAGATGTTCATAAATCAGTCGCGTCATTCTCAGCAGGTTTTGTGGCGAGTTATACCAGAATTCCACCACAGAACAACAAAGACATGATTAATTCAGTGCTTAACACAGCAGTGAGAATACACAAATAACTCGTACATAGGAGAGAGGACCTCACGACAACGTTTCGGTCCGACTTGAACCATTTACATAGTGTGGTATGCAAAGAGTGTGTTGCAATTTATTCGGCATATGTCGCACTCCCATATAGGCTGCCTCCCAACCAGTGAACCTGGTGATAAGGGTTTAACAATCAGCATTGTACCCATCGTTAAATCAGTACCTTGGTTCATTGACCAATCACAGGCAAGCCCGCCGAAGCTGAAGCAACGTGGTTCACTCGCAGTAAGCATTGGCAGACTTGCCTACCTGCTGGTTGAGCACGGTGCACTCTGTCTGGCTTTTGCTTTGCCATCTGTCACCGTGGTGTACACTTATTATTATTCCATCTGTACATATTGTACATAGTGTACATATCTGTATATAGTGAGTGAAGGCAAAATATACATTATAGTCTATTACTGAGTCTGTCTGTTCCAATTCCCATTACGACCAGGTCGCACAGGCCATTCATTATCCCTCCTGGAGTAAACAATGGTTATCAGTATGTGTCGTGCTGAGTTGAGTCCCTTGTCGTAGTTCATAAGTTCGACCCTAGAGTGTTGACACGTAAATTTATTTATTATAGAATATTTAGAACATACATAGGTGAGTACAAACAGGAAGTGCACCTGTTTAGCGCTCAGCAAACGGAGGATCGAGCCTCCACAACGTCTTCTCTTAATGATCCACATGGGCTTAGCACTTAACATTATTTTTTTAATCTGACCCCCACTATGTGCCGTGGCGAAGGAAGAACGACGGAATCAACCCCATTGTCGTTGGTAACACCTACCACTGTCTCGCACGACAGTGTCACTCCATGATTTAGTACCCAGTGGCACCTTAGGATATGGAGGGGCCACATTAGTCCCGCCCTCTACGGAAGTGCCATGCAACAAGTATTTGCATTTTTCCATCTGTTTTTGCTTGTGATTCAACTGACGCCACAACAGCTGTCACTGTGTGTCTGCTTGGTCTTCTGGCATCACCTGGCACTTGTCATGGCATGTTTTTTTTGTACCTACCAAGTATACATGTGCAGTATATATTTATACAGCAGAAGGGGGTCGAAATATACAGATCAATCAATCTACTGAGTTTCTGTCTCTATTTGGGTTATATATATATTTTATATATATATATATATATTTATATATATATATATATATATATATATTATATATATATATTTTATATATATATATATATATATATATATATATATATATATATATATATATAAAGTTCTTTCCAATTTATTGGTTTAGTAAATTATTTAAGCCTGTAAGTGTGGTATGGAAAAGGAAGGGGAGGATGGGGAAGGAAGAAAGAGATGGAGAAGAAAGAAAAAGAATGGAGAAGGAAGGGAGGGCAGGACTAGAGAAAGAGAAAGATGCGAAGGGAAACGGAAGACAAAATTTCGCGTCATTTGTCAAAGAATTTTGGGGAAAGGAAAATGACATTGAAGTTTGAAGAGTTACCATAACACGACAAGCTTTCAGCTAACTTTTCCAGGAGTTAACTTTTCCAGGAGTTAACTTTTCCAGGAGTTAACTGAGTTGTGCAGCTGGAGTTGGTGGAAGATGGTAGAGTGAGGAGTGCTGGAGGATGAGAAAGATGGTGATGAGGAAAGGGGGGTGAGAGAGGGGGGGAGATAAGGAAGGTAGATGCGAGGGATGTGGGTATGAGTGAGAGGGGATGAGGGTATTGGGTCGTACCCAGTCCTGTGCTTGTGTTCTGGTTGTTAGGGAACAGTACAGTATCTCATGATCCAATGTGTCCCGCAGCTCAATTGGTAGCGCACTCAGCTCACATTGTTCAATGTTACTGTCAAATGTCGTGTTAAATGTCATTGTTAAACGTCACTGTTAATTGTCATTGTTAAACGTCATCGTTAAACGTCATTCTGGAAAACCATCGTCTTCGAGCAGCATCGTCAAAATCAACGTCAGTAGTAATCGTCTAAGTTCGTCGCCTGATGTTGATTTTATTTACCTTTGATACCTTTAATTTAAACTTTGCTGCGTACGCAAGTTAGCGCTAAAAATATAGTTTGGTTTTGGGGTCAAAGAGAGAGAGAGAGAGAGAGAGAGAGAGAGAGAGAGAGAGAGAGAGAGAGAGAGAGAGAGTGAGAGAGTGAGACACACACACACACCTACACACTTTAACACACTTTGTATGGTAAGACACATATGTAACAGTTAGGTATCTTTATTATGAAACGTTTCGCCTACACAGTAGGCTTCTTCAGTCAAGTACAGAAAAGTTGGTAGAAGCAGAAGATACTTGAAGACGATGTAATCAGTCCATCACCCTTAAAGTTTTGAGGTGGTCAGTCCCTCAAAACTTTAAGGGTGATGGACTGATTACATCGTCTTCAAGTATCTTCTGCTTCTATCAACTTTTCTGTACTTGAGTGAAGAAGCCTACTGTGTAGGCGAAACGTTTCATAATAAAGATACCTAACTGTTGCATATGTGTTTTACCTAACAACCTGTCGGTATTTTATACCATTTTAATGTTCACACTTTGTATGTATATTGCTGCTGAAACCACATAATCTCTCTGCTATAACTTGTGTATGTGATAAATAACTTGCATTCGTATTTTCCTCCCACAGGTTGAGTAAGGATGGAACCTGTGCAGGACTTTAGTCGTCTCCGGGTCACTGACTCTCCCCAAGAGGGATCCAAAGCAAACCCAGTTACTTCGGGAACCTTGTATTCCCCAGTTGGCCAATTACAGTCTCGAGGAGCACCTCACAGACCACAGAATAACCTCCACAGACCTCCACCTCCGAATTATCCCTCATCGGATTCACTCTTGAATACAGTAGACATGGCTAGAGAGATTAGCAGAGCACGCACAGAATCCTACAATAGCCAGGGTTATAGGAAATCCCGTCCACCCCCGAAGTACCATGAGGCTGTCAGTGGTCTTCATCGCTTCAATAACTACAATCCGGAGTCTAATCTGCAAAAGTTTGCTTCGGAAACATCGCTGTTGAGAGGCGTTGGTACAGAGGATAAGTATCCTGGGAGGGAGCAGGAAGGTCACAGAGGTCGTAGTTACTCCAACGCTGCCTGTATTAGTCGTCCTCTTGATATCCCAGGAAGGACTCGAACTCACGATCACAACTTTGATTCCTCCATGACGACACCTTCTTTTTCGCATTTGAATTCCACGTTTCAAGAGCAACATTCTCATAAAGGCGTCAGGACGACAGAGGCGAACTCTGTTATAGTTCAACAGAAGCCACAGATAATGCAACGGTCTCGTTACAGAGAAGACTCGACACAGGAGCCACGAACAAGTCTCCTTCCTTCTCTTCCTATCCCTATCAAAAACAACTTTCGATCAAAAAGTCCAAGCATTGACTGCATTGTTTCTGAAGCTGGCGGCGCCACCTCCTGCAAATTCTTTACTTCCAAGAGCCCAAGTGTTGACACTTGTTTAAACCGCATATCGAACCCAGGCGATGCTAACATTCCTCATGTTAGCTGGCGTGAAGAAGACGTCCGAAGGTCCAACTGTCTCACCGTTCACAGCGCCAAACACTTCCGAAGCAAAAGCCCGAGTCTAGATGCTGGCGTCTTCCTCGAGGCCGTTCGCGGGGGAAGCAACATTGAATTTCCAGGAAACAAGCCTTTTTCTCAACGGCCTCTTGTAAATGCCACATTTTCAGAGCTCAGAGTTGATTCAATGGGCCAAACTGTTGTGGGTCGAGGTGGAGACAACAATACGTTAGTCACGCCATTACCCACAGGTCTAGAACGCCGCTCCAGCGCCCAAAGTTTACCTGATCTTTCAGGGCCTGCACTCGACGACCTTTGCCCTATTACTGGACCCTCTACAGCATGTAATTCTCGGCCATTTAGTCCCCCAACATACACTCAGGTTCCTTACTCTGCCTCCCACCAGCACCAGCCGCCACACCTTCAGGAATATACCAGAAAAATATCTTCCTCCTCACAGCTGCCTGAGACCACAGATTCTGAGAGATACAGAACCCGACCCTCTCTGCAGTCGCCTCCGAACAGTAACATCAAGAGCGAGCAGGACTCGCCACCGCCGCCATACCCACGCCACAGGACGTTAGGGGATTCAGCCAAAGGACAGCTACCCGGACTGGAGCGGGTCATACCCTCCCTAGAGAGAGTCCTAACCTCCCTGGAGCGAGGCCTACCATCCATGGAAACCCGAACAGTAGCTGGAAGCTCCAACCTGGTGGTGAGCCGTCTGAATGACAACACAGGTCAGTAAACACACGCTTATCACCTCTCCATTATTATTAGTAGTAGTAGTAGTAGTATGGAAGGAAATCTGATTTGATCCAAGTAAGGGCAGGGTAGCTTTAATTCCAAGAATCAAGAGGCTGCTAAGCATAGAAATGATTGGCATTAAAGGCTGGCAGAATGTCCAGACGAAACTATATAGAATAGAAAAGAATCGTAATTGTCGATATGAATCGTTCCAAATCTTTACCATTCATAACAAAATGCACGCTTGAAATGGAGCAATATGCCCTTCTATTGTAAGGTAATTAGACAGAAATAGGTTAATAAGCGTTAGTCTATCCAAAACTGATCTATCGTAACGTAATCTAACCTAACCAAATCTAACCTTACACAACCTAACCTAACCTAATCAAATCTAATCTAACGTGACGTAACCTAATTTAACCAAATCTAATCTTACACAATCTAACCTAACCTAACTAAATCTCATCTAAACTAGCCTAATCGAGAGAGCTGATAAGCGCAAGTGGGCAGCAGTTCCTGTACAACTAGCTGCTTTAAGTGGGGAACAACTAGCTGCCTTAAGTGGTGAACAGCTAGCTGTCTTAAGTAGTGAACAACTAGCTGCCTTAAGTGGTGAACAACTAGCTGCCTTAAGTGGTGAAGAGGTCGTAGTTATTAGTGACCCTCTTCAACAGATGTTTAGCTGGGAAAATAAACACAAATGCCGTATAATGCTTAATCAAGTCACAAACAAATCTACCTGGACAAAGAGTACATGAGTATATAGAGAGTGGAGAGTCAGGTAGATCTATTTGTGACTTGATAAAGCCCACTGTGTGGACGAAACGTGGTCAAAAGGCTCGCATTATACCGCATTTGAGTCTATTTTTCCATCGTGTCGGTATTTTATACCAGTTATCTTAAGATGTTCAGCCAGCGGCTGTTAAGGATGTAGACTTCATTCCTTCGCTACACTTGATATTTCTCTCGGCACAATAGTCCACCCTAGTCAGTGCGACACCAGTAAAGCTACCATGTCATGTGCAGTGCATACAGTGCATACATACACTGCACACTCATGGCAAACACAGGAGCCAGCAGCTGTGACTCGACCCCTGCAACCACAACTAGGTGAGTAGTGTCTTCATCAAGTCTTTGATATAGTTCTACGCTGAGCGATGCGTGGATTGGTAAACAATTTTTGTTTGCCACACCTATCATCAACATTTGCCAGTCTAACCAGTGGAATGAACGAACACTTAAATGCAGCAAAAATGATAATTTAGTGAAAAACTTAAGATATGAAGATAACTCTATAGAAAAATGAAAGAGACGTCAAAACAAAGGAGGCTCGCCTTGCATGACGCCTCCGTGCATTATGAAGTCAAGAAGACACCCCGTGCACCTCGTGCACAGGGAGTGGAGGTTGCAGGGCACGCCTCAACCTCTGCTGGGCACGCCTTATCATTAGTTGGGCACGTCTCATCCTCAGCTAGGTTACCCAACACCAGCAACAGCAGCAGCCCGGCAGATCATGTGTACCATCTGTAGCAACAGCTGTTTGTCCCAACCCGCGCCACGAACTATCACAACCTGCGTGGGGGGCGCCACACCGGTCCCCAGACGCCACGCCACACCAAGTCACTCTTCTGTAAATCTTATCCCTAACTCCTTACGTCAAAGTCATTTTATTTCCCTTCAATATATTACAAATTCTACTCCATAAATAGTGTTTGTCACTAAGAATTGGGCCAAAAGAAGTCTTCAGTGATATCTACGTTGTTGTGACGCTTTCTGTAAGATCTCTGTTTCTCTGAGCGCCGGGGTGCCTGTCGGGACCTCGGGGAAATTTGGGGAAATATAATGTTAACTAATGGATTTTTTAATTGAACTGAAATTAGAAAAGTGTGAAATATTGTAGAATACTTATTTCTTAAGTAATTTCTTCCAACTTGTGATTGTGGCAGAAGTGTATGTGTGTGTGTATGTGTGTGTGTATGTGTGTGTATGTGTGTATAGTAAGAGTGCTTGTGAGTGTGTGGTGTTCCATACACACTCCAGGCTAGCTAGCACCAGTGTTCCATACACACTCCAGGCTAGCTAGCACCAGTGTTCCATACACACTCCAGGCTAGTTAGCACCAGTGTTCCATACACACACTCCAGGCTAGCTAGCACCAGTGTTCCATACACACTCCAGGCTAGTTAGCACCAGTGTTCCATACACAAACCCGGGCTAGCTAACCAGTGTTCCATACACCACTCCAGGCTAGCTAGCACCAGTGTTCCATACACACACTCCAGGCTAGTTAGCACCAATGTTCCATACACACACTTCAGGCTAGCTAGCACCAGTGTTTCATACACACACTCCAGGCTAGCTAGCAGCAGTGTTCCATACACACACTCCAGGCTAGCTAACACCAGTGTTCCATACACATTCCAGGCTAGTTAGCACCAGTCTTCCATACACACACTCCAGGCTAGCTAGCACCAGTGTTCCATACACACACTCCAGGCTAGCTAGCACCAGTATTCCATACACACACTCCAGGCTAGTTAGCACCAGTGTTCCATACACACACTCCAGGCTAGCTAGCACCAGTGTTCCATACACACACTCCAGGCTAGCTAGCACCAGTGTTCCATACACACACTCCAGGCTAACTAGCACCAGTGTTCCATACACATTCCAGGCTAGTTACCCACCAGCCCTTCCAACAACACACTCCAGGCTAGCTAGCACCAGTGTTCCATACACACACTCCAGGCTAGTTAGCACAAGTGTTCCATACACACACTCCAGGCTAGCTAGCACCAGTGTTCCACACGCACACTCCAGGCTAGCTAGCACCAGTGTTCCATACACACACTCCAGGCTAGCTAGCACCAGTGTTCCATACACACACTAAAGGCTAGTTAGCACCAGTGTTCCATACACACACTCCAGGTTAGCCAGCACCAGTGTTCCATACACACACTCCAGGCTAGCTAGCACCAGTGTTCCATACACACACTCCAGGCTAGTTAGCCCCAAACTTTTTCCATACACACACATTCAGCTAGCTACCACCAGTGTTCCATACACACACTCCAGGCTAGCTAGCACCATGTTTCCACACGCACACTCCAGCAACTAGCACCATGTTTCCATACAACACTCCAGCTAGCTACACCATTTTTCCATACACACCTAAAAGGCAGTTTGCACATGTTCCAACACACACTCCAGTTAGCCAGACCAGTGTTCCATACACACACTCCAGGCTACTAGAAACCAGTGTTCCAACACACACTCCGGGCTATTAGAAAAAAACTGTTCCATACACACACTTCAGGCTAGCTACACCAGTGTTCCATAACACACCTCCCAGCTACTAGAGCATGTTCCATACAAAACACTCAGGCAAGAGCACCAGTGTTCCATACACACACACTCCAGGCTAGCTAGCAGCAGTGTTTCATACACACTTCAGGATAGCTAGCACCAGTGTTCCATGAACACACTCCAGGCTAGCTAGCACCAGTGTTCCATACACACACTCCAGGCTAGCTAGCACCAGTGTTCCATATACACACTTCAGGCTAGCTAGCAACAGTGTCCCATACACACACTCCAGGCTAGCTTGCACCAGTGTTCCATACACACTCCAGGCTAGCTAGCACCAGTGTTCCATATACTCTCCAGGCTATCTAGCACAAGTGTTCCATATACACTCCAGGCTAGCTAGAAGCAGTGTTCCATACACGCCCCAGGCCAGCTAGCAACAGTGTTCCATACACACTCCAGGCTAAATAACACCAGTGTTCCACACACACTTCAGGCGGGCTGGCACTAGTGTTCCATACACACATTCCAGGTTAGCTAACACCAGTGTTCCATACACTCTCAAGGTTAGTTAGCACCAGTGTTCCATACATACACTCCATGCTAGCTACCACTAGTGTTCCATACACACTCTCCAGGCTACCTAGCACAGTGTTCCATACACATTCCAGGCTAGCTAGCACCAGTGTTCCATACACACTCCAGATTAGCTAGTACCAGTGTTCCATGCACATTCCAGGCTAGCTACCACCAGTGTTCGATATACACTGTCCAGGCTAGCTAGCACCAGTGTTCCATGCACACCCAAGGCTAGCTAAAATCAGTTTTCCATACACACTCCAGGCTAGCTAGCACCAGTGTTCCATACACACTCCAGGCTAGCTAGCACCAGTGTTCCATACACACTCCAGGCTATCTGGCACCAGTGTTCCAAACACACTCAAGGCTAGCTAGCATCAGTGTTCCATACACACACAAGGCTAGCTAGCACCAATGTTCCACACACACTCAAGGCTAGCAAGCACCAGTGTTCCATACACACTCCAGGTTAGCTAGCACCAGTGTTCCATACTCCAGGCTAGCTAGCACCAGTGTTCCATACACACTCAAGGCTAGCTAGCACCAGTGTTCCATACACACACCAGGCTAGCTAGCACCAGTGTTCCATACATACTCAAGTCTAGCTAGCACCAGTGCTCCATACACACTCCAGGCTAGCTAGCACCAGTGTTCCATACACACTCCAGGCTAGCTAGCACCAGTGTTCCATAAGCACTCAAGGCTAGCTAGCACCAGTGTTCCATACACACTCCAGGCTAGCTAGCACCAGTGTTCCATACACACTCAATGCTAGCTAGCACCAGTGTTCCATACACACTCAAGGCTAACTAGCACCAGTGTTCCATACACACTCCAAGCTAGCTAGCACCAGTGTTCCATACACACTCAAGGCTAGCTAGTACCAGTGTTCCATTCACACTCAATGCTAGTTTAGCACAAGTGTTCCATACACACTCAAGGCTAGCTAGCACCATGTTCCATACACACTCCAGGCTAGCTAGCACCAGTGTTCCAGCACACTAAAGGGCTAGCTACACCAGTGTTCCATACACACTCAAGGCTAGCTAGCACCAGTGTTCCATACACACTCCAGGCTAGCTAGCACCAGTGTTTCATACACACTCCA